ATGTATCAGTGTAGATTTTATTATATTGCCTCCAATCCCACAAGGATACAAAATTTCAAGGAACAAAAAAAAAGATAATTGATTTTATTTTTACATTAAGTTAAACATAATTCACTTTAAAAGTTTAGCACCATTTTCAACGTACAGTATTAAACAGTCTTCTGTGCATTTCTTTCGGAAGTCTGTCGAGGGAAATGTGACTGGCATGCATTTTGTTTTCCGTTTAATTTTAAACAAAAATAATTTACTGTAATATTTGCTCAGATATTGTCATACCCGGAAACCAACAGGGATTACGTATAAATGTTTATTGCAAACAATCTAGCCTATCAGATGTAAAATTAGAGGCGTGTATCAACTTGAAAAACCATCTGTATTTATATATATTAAAGCATAAGTAAAAATATCTGCATTTTTCTATTTATTTTTTTTGTTTTACTTTTTTTTTTTTGTAAGGTTTTATATTGTAGTGTGTTCCAAATAAAGAGCTGTTTGATTATTCTATAGATAATGTGAGTATTAAAACCATTTTAATCAAAGGTTCTCTCTGTCTGTATGTTATGTTTATTGCATATATGATGATGGGTGGGGTAGCATAGTGTAGAATGCTCATTGTTTATTAGAGGTTAGTGATGTCTTGCTAGCACCATTTCTATAGCGTTTCCCTAAAATCTTACCATGTGAAATATATATATATATATTTGCATCATACACAGTACATACAAAGTAGTACAGAAAATGATCACACACTCCTTACCTTGGCTAATCTCCTGAGCAGTGCACCTTACTTCTAATTTATAGTCCTATTTAATATGTTCAAATATGTGAATTTATCCTTTACAAAAAGACAGTACTGTGCTTTATGGACTGTAAAGTTAACGTTGTAATGGACACAAGACACAGACAATTCTAAAGGCCATACGTGGGATGATACAACTTCCCATATCATGGTGACTTCCCACTGATGCCAACATAGTCTGAAATCTTTTTTTTTTTCTTTTTCATTTTGGATGGTAGTGTTGTCCAAGGTTCTAAAACAGGAGAAGCTGCATTCTCATGAAACTGGTTAATAATAGTAACCCTTAAAGGAACTCTGCTAAAACATGGGGGCTACTATTGTTGGGACTGCCCTGCCAGGATCTGTTACCACAAGTTCATAGCCCCCAGGAATATACCCCAGAAGAACTATACACCTTAACAAAACGATCAATACAGGGAACGCTGGGAAAATATAGCAGAGAACCAAGGTGTCATTTACTAACATATATAAAAGTTATTAAAGGAGAACTATGGGGTCAGTGTTTTTCCCCATAGTTCTCCTTGGGGTAACGGGAGGACACAAACTAGCGTCCTCCCGTTACCCTAAGCTCAGCTCGCGGTATACTGAGACGCCGCACCTGGAGCGGATCCCGACTTAGATGACGGGATCCGCCCAGCTGCGTGCGTGACAGCTGGCTCTGCCTATCTAGAGGCAGAGCCAGCTGTACCCGCCCCCTCCCCCGTCCGTTCCGCCAGTCAGCGCTTGCAGATCGGAGCGGGGAGAGGGGAATCCAGCCCCTCCCCCTGTCACGGCAGAGAGCCGTGACAGGATCGAGAGGTGAGGGAACCCGGGAATGTTTTCCCTCACCTCCCGATCTACTGAGCCGACCTGTGACAGTCTCATTGTCACAGGTCGGCTTAGAACTGTGAGGTGAGTGGAAATCACTCATGTCATAGTTCTCCTTTAACGTTAGATCTTATAGCAATGGAAGTTTTATAGTTGCCTCTCCTAATATTTACATTAGAACTTTTAAAAAGAAAATGCAAAAATATGGAGTTAGAGTCCCTTAAAATCCAACTGCTGGGACAGTATTTTTTATTTTGTTTAAACCCCCTAAAATGTTTATAACTCTTGTTTATTCAGTATTTTCTATCTTTATTAGCTGTCTCCGTGCTCCACTACAAAGTACATTCAAAACCATGCTTCTGTCTTCTAGCTGTATCAGACTGGGGAACCAGTTCTGTTTTTTTGCCTTTGCCCCCTTCCACTGCTTTGTCATTCACATAGCACAGCCCTTGATGATGCTATGTCTGTGTTTTGCGAATGGCAAAGAGGGGATGGAATCAAAACCCCAGGACTCGAGTCTGCCATAGGCACCTTTCCAAAGCGGGTGGAGAGCTGGATGCGTGGCTACTGATATACATTCCAACAGTTGCCCGGACAGCCAATCAAATCAGAAAACACTTATTAAATGGGAGTTACAGATTTTTTTTAAAGGCTAGAACAATGGAAAAAAAATCAATGTTCCTGCAGTTGGGCTTTATGGTTAAAGTAGAAAAAGAAGCTGATGTACATAGTAATGACAGAAAGGCATGCAGGTATTAGAAGTCATTTTTCAATTGTCTGGGTATCTTCTATGGTCCATAAAGCACAGTAGCATGGGCCTAATAAAAAAAAATGGTTTCTACCGAACAAGTACATATACATTTTGTACAAACATACATTGCCGATCCCCATGTCACATAAACACCTTGGTAGTGTAAAAAATTATGCAAGAAAAAGCATAGCAGGGTGGTCCACAGCAACCAGTAAGATGCTTGCTTTCATTATCATTCTGTGCTGGAAAAATATGAACCTAAAATCTGCTCCGGACTGCTCTGCAATGTTTTCTTTGAAAATAAGTAGGGCTGTGGAAATGTTGACGGCTAACGAAGGGAAGGGGGAGAAGTCCGGTGACATCGATGTCTGTGACGTCACCGGACTCCTCCCCCCTTCGTTAGCCGACAGAGCCAATTGGGTCTTGTGAGTTTGCCCAAGAAACTTTCTGCACTAGCGCCAGCCAAGGCATTGGCCTATACACATACAGCATATCAATGAAGTAAAAAAAATGGACTAGGATCACACTAATCCAGCACGGTATTATTCTGAGTTGCCCCACTCAAGCAGCGCCCATATTGAGTGAGGCACGTGAGATTAATAACGTGCTGGATTAGTGTGATCCTAGTTCATTTTATTACTTAATTGCTGTATGTGTATAAGCCAATGTAGTTGGATCTGTATGTGCGTTATAATTAATCGAAATTAATCGATTAAAAAAAATTAGATTAATCGAACACGAAAATTTTAATCGTTACCAGCCCTAAAAATAAGCAAACACAAACATTAACACAAGTTCCCATCTATTACCATGACAGAGTACAGACTTTCTTCCTGCTTCTACCATTTGAGTTTTGACCCGTGCGCCTTTCAAGAAACAGAAAGCAAGGAGAGAGAATACCTTTTAATTTTTTTTATTTTTTTTAATTTTATGTCTAAAAATATATTTAAATGAAAAAGGAAATGTATTTTAGCCGTTCCATTGATAGTACAGGATGTGAGCGTATCAGGAGCTCTGCATTATAAAGCACAATTTGCAGTACTTCTCCATTCTGACAATATAATATGAATGACCGGCAGATTATTTGGATTGTGATTATTTCACCTTTAAAAAGAAAAAAAACTTTGCAGGGGGAAATATAAGGAAAAAGGTCAAAAGCTTCTGTGTTTTTATAAAAATATGACTGGATTTGTACCCACTCAATAGCTCTTTAGAGTTTGGTATGTCATTTTAGGATAAAATGGGTAATTATTTTGTCATTAAGTGAAATACCCTCCTCTGAGTTCCCAATGCAAGATATATCGGAGCTGTTCAGCTCATCCTCCTGCTTTAAAGTGGACCTGTACTCATCAGGATGGGCCAACTAAGAAAAACAGGCTGAAATAAAGAAAGTGATGCTCCAGACTTTCTCTGTTCATATAACCGAAGGCCTAGACTAGTGATAAATCCTGAAAGAGTCTATCTTTCCAAGATTCACACAACTTTCACGCATTTTTCTAATCAAATTTAAAGTGAAAAAAAAACTGTGAATCTTGGGTGAAAACACTGATAAATAGACCTAGAAGAGTAGGATCAGCCAAACTGAACACTGATTCTACCCTTGAACACAAGTAAAATGCTAGACATTTAAGTCTTCATTATATGAGATGTAAATGAACACGGAGTCCCTCCGCACTCCTCGCAACGCTCCCGGCACATAAAACAAATGGTGCTCGCAGTGATGACCACGGATGGTGCCGTGCAGACACAGGAAAGTGGACAGGGATCACCAGCACTCAGCAATATCATTTAAATAAGTCCATTTTATTTGGACAAAGTCACAGTGAAAACAGCCAACGTTTCGGGGCCACGCAGGGTCCCTTCATCAGGGCAAAAGGATGTGACACATCCTCACTCGGAAATCCTTTTGCCCTGATGAAGGGATCCTGCGCGGCCCCGAAACGTTGGCTGTTTTCACTGTGACTTTGTCCAAATAAAATGGACTTATTTAAATGATATTGCTGAGTGCTGGTGATCCCTGTCCACTTTCATTATATGAGAAGCACTAGATGAAGGCTGAAGCAGAAACCTTCCCAGGAAAGGTAAGTGGATTAAGACAATAATTCATTTGACCATTTTAGCATAAATTTAGTTAGGCATTTGAGTATAGGCTTCAATAATGTGAACAAGTACACAGCTCAGAGTTCCTTCTGGCTGCATATGTGTTCTGGGTCAGTGACTCTGCTGATAGCAAAGTCATACACTGCTACGGAAGATACTGTATATCTGAACACCAGGGGTCGGAGGCCTAGAGAAAACCTCTTTGTGGCACATTCCCTTTAAAGAGGAACTCCAGTCAAAAGACAACACTTTATAACGAATATGCTGCATTAATATCTGTTTGCCTGTGTTGTTTTAGTAGGAAATAAAAAATATTTTTGCCTCTAACAAACCCCATCGTATGTCATTGCCACCGACTTGCCTGTTTTAGACACAGCTTTTGAACTCAATGTTGTTTGATGCAACATACCCACAATGCAATACTAGATAATCTGCTTTGCTGTAGCACTGATATTCTTACTGGGACAGTTGAAATATACCAAATGCATTTAACCCAGTTTATTAATACTTTATTGGTGATGGCTGTTCTGATTGGAGTTTTGCTTTAATGACAGTTTCTTCGGTGATGCATTTTTGAGTCTGGAAATTGTATCAAACATGAGTCCTGATTTCACAGATGCCGTGTTTTCCCTGTAATCTATGAAGCATAATTTTGAACTGCGGTATTGAAGAAATAGTACTGCTGTCGGCTAGGATCTGCATGTGCAATATGTGCCAAGACGCTTTTTCTATTCCAGAAGGCAGCACCAGTTCACAATGTAAATAAGCTCCTCACTCTGTATATAATGTGCATAGTAGGATAGAAGATGAAGCCTGGGTAAAGGATGGTCCATCTGCTGGTCTGTGTTAGTTGCCGCCTCAGAGGCCTGGAACATATTTCGCAACACTTTTGCCACTGGTAGCAGAGGGTTTAAGGCAGTTATTACTGATATAAAAAAAGTGAAAGCCAAATTAATTTAAAAGTTTTTTTATCACTATTGCCATTCACATTGGATACAATAAATATCCGGAGAATGATGAGTGGACATACTGCCCAGCGTAGAGTCCAGATGCTTGATCGGAGGGCATTTGAATGTATACTTTATCTCCAAGCATCAGTGGGACCACTGCACTGCCTGAAGCTTGATCTAGGTAGCCCTTCTTGTATTCATCGTATGTGTACATTAATGGTTCATTGTTCTTATAGAGTGCCACCCAAACGTTGGCTCCTTTGCAATGGACATGGTAGGAGAAGTAGTAGATACCAGGAATTTCACAAGTAAATATGCCAGTGTGTGGGTTGTAACCTTGTCTCCCGTTATAGAGCAATCTTTCAAATTTGATAGGTTCTCCAACTGGAGGGAAGGCAGTAGTCAGTTCAGCTGTGAATGCTGGCATTTCGTGAATGGGCGCTGTGCCTCCCTTCTTTCCTGCGTAACCTTGATAGGACTTTGCTCCATCAATTGCAGGCCCAATGTTTGGTAAATACTGTCCCATGCCTGGTGGTGTGGGTGGGATTTCTGCAGGAAGTCCGGGTGTGCCTGGTGGCCCTGGAGGACCTGGCAATCCACGCTGTCCTGGAGGCCCTACTGGCCCTGGTGTTCCTGAAGGACCCTGGGGTCCAGGTAAACCATTCTTCCCCACACCAGGTAGACCAGTTGACCCAGGTGCTCCCGGCTCTCCCTTTGGCCCTGGAAGTCCTGGAGGTCCAATTGGCCCACTTGGTCCTGCAAGACCAGGAATTCCTGTTGGTCCTTGCACACCTAGCTCACCGGGAAATCCAGCTTCTCCTTTGGGCCCAGGCAATCCAGGTTGGCCAGGCGATCCAGTTAAACCTTTGTGTCCAGGTTCTCCTTTTGGGCCTATTGGTCCTGGTAACCCTCTAAGACCTTGAGGCCCCACCTCACCTGGAAATCCTTGTTTCCCTGGAAGCCCCTGAATTCCTGGTTCACCCTTTGGTCCTGGTTGTCCATCAGGGCCTACATTGCCACGATCCCCTTTGGGACCAGGAAAACCAGTCACACCTGGTGGTCCCATAGAACCAGGCAGACCTGCAGGCCCTGGCTCACCTGGTTGACCTCCCATACCTGGTTCACCTATATGACCTTTTTCACCTTTTGGCCCCATGGGTCCAGGTGCTCCACCAAATCCACGATCTCCTTTTATTCCAGGAAAACCTGGCTTACCAATTCCCGGAAATCCAGGAGCTCCAGGTAAACCTGGAAGTCCTTGATCACCTTTAACACCTGGTAATCCAATTTCACCTGGAAGACCATCTTGGCCTGGTTTTCCAACACCTGGAATTCCTGGTGGACCTTGAAGCCCAGGTGGACCAACCGATCCTTCTTGCCCTGGTGCACCTTGTAACCCGGGGTTTCCTTGATGCCCCTTTGGTCCAGGGAAGCCATTCATACCTGGTTTACCAATGCCAGGAAGGCCAGGTGGACCTGGGGGTCCCTGCAGCCCAGGGGAGCCTTTGAGTCCAGGTAGTCCAGGTACCCCCACTCCCTTTTCTCCTTTTGGGCCTGGAATTCCGGGATATCCTGGTGGTCCTTTAAATCCTGGTTCACCTTTTGGCCCTGGAAGCCCTGGTAAACCTGGTTCACCTGGTTTGCCAATGCCTGACAGACCCGCAGGCCCAGGGGCTCCCTGTGGTCCTGGCTGTCCATTTTGTCCATACTCTCCTTTAGGTCCTTGATCTCCCTTTGGACCTGGTATTCCAATGCCCCCTGGTTTTCCAGGCATGCCTGGCATTCCTGGCTTGCCCATACCAGGAAATCCAGGTGGGCCAGGTAGGCCAGGGTTTCCTTTTGGCCCTAGCAATCCTTGCCCTGGTGGGCCAGCAGGTCCAGGTGGTCCTCTTGGTCCAGGTTCACCAGGCAGGCCTTGTTCTCCTCTTCTGGCAGATAATGGAAGTTCTGGTAAAATAAATAAAAATGTTGTAGTAGTTAGTCTTTGTCTAAAGAAAAAGTAATGGTATGTAAAAAATAATGAAATATTTGTAACCATGGTTTATCAAAATTAAACCATCTCAGTCTTTTGTTAAGTGTACTTGGAAAAAGTGCCACAGATATACCAAAAGTACCAAAGCAGTCTAAAACGTAAAGTGTTCTTTAATCAATACTGGTAATAAACATACACTTAGAAGAACAAAATGTAAAGTAAAGTCTTTTAGTGTTTGTTGTTATCATTACTGTTCTTATTTTAATTACCAAACTAAGTTTATTTCTTGAAATAACATTATTTGAAGAATTTCAACCATGGTGACCATTTTACACTTTGAAATCACCCTGGAACTTTTGAAAATTCAGGAACTATGATTTCTGATTCTGTCAGAAGCACCACCTGCTGGTGAAATCTGGATATTCTTCAGTCAGATATAATGAAATTTCTTTAAAGTGACACCAAACTCCTCAAAGATCTTCAAATCATCTCTGAATTGGTGCTGACACTGTCCTTCCTTCTGGAGGGTGGCTACTTGTGTTCCCCATGAGCCCTGTGTGTGTTGTAAAGGATCCACTGCTCCAAGCTCACTCCTGTGATGAAGTATAATCTTACATTTAATTTACTGATGTGTACTGAGATTTTACGCAAGAAATGAAAAGTAACATACTCAGTTTATAAACATGCAAAAATGGTAAAATTTACTATTTACTAAAACATGAGTGAAGGGAATTTATCAAAACTGGAGCAGACATAAATCTAGAGCAGCTGTGCATGGCAACCAATCAGCTTCTCTCTTTCATTCTCAAATCATAACTGAACAAACTGAAGAGAGAAGCAGATTGGTTGCTATGCACCGCTGTTCCAGTTTTGAGAATCCCCCCCGCCAACCCATGGTTTTCAGCGGCGTATTTACACTTGAGGGTGCCGCCCTAGGCAAACGCCTAGTTTGCCTCGCGGTAAATACGCCCCTGATGGTTTTAAAGGTCTAAAGAGTAGAGTAGGGTGGGACAACTATCGCTTAGGAGAAGGATGTGGAGTGACAGAAGCTTTCATGGCATCAGATTCTACATTCTAATTAGTATCTCCATTGAAAAATACATTAATATAGACATGCTTTGCTGTTGGTTTTACTTTGATTTTTGTTCAATTATTTATTTCATATTATTTGGCTGTATTATTATTATGGCTGGTCGTTGGGTTATTATACTTATGATTATTTTTATGCGGATTTTGGAGATTGTATTTAGGGATTATCATAAATATTTAATGGGGATTGATTCACTATTAGTGTTATCACTGGATATTTGCACATATTAAGAGGCTTATATTCTTTGATCACATTCATCCCAGCACGTCTGTTTATTATATTATAAGCAGTAAAAACAAGACGGGTTCTAATTCTCCACCCTTCCATCCAAAACGAAGAAAAAAACAACATGCACACTAATGTGACTGAGTTACATGTGTGAATATAAATGCTGGGGTATGCTCCTGACATTAGAACTGAAGAAGCTGTTTGGATAAGCAGCAAAATGTTGACGACATTACAGAATAAGTCCAATTTAATGTGACTATTACTAGCTATACTATGACTTGGATAGATGAGAACCTTCCCAGACATTTCTTGGGGAAATGAAGCAAATAAAGGAGATATTGCTCTTATAACATTTCAAAATAATAAATTACGTATGGTCAAAGTTGTTTTCACATTTTGATAAATAGGTGAAACTGGTTAGGGCAATTCCTTTTGTTGCGATATGATGAATATCTTCAGGTATACAGCGCCTATCAAAAAAATAATCAGCTTCTTGAAATTTTTCTTTTTTTTTTATTATCGTCATGTAACATTGATTCATAGTTTAAAGTTTAAAATAATTTTATAAGAACAGGTAGGCAAAGCACTCCACATGCCGTTATTCTCTGGCTCATTTCGCCCCCTAGTGGGGCATAGTCAGAATGTCAGAGAAGGGCAGACAAGAGACTTTAAAGGAGAACTATGGGGTTAGGGCTTTTCCCCATAGTTCTCCTTAGGGTAATGGGAGGACACAAACTAGTGTCCTCCCGTCACCCTAAGCTCAGTATACCGCAAGCTACAGCTCGCAGTATACTGAGACGCCGCAGCTTAAGTGGATCCCGACAATTATGTCGGGATCCGCCCAGCTGCGTGACTGACAGCTGGCTCTGCCTATCTAGAGGCAGAGCCAGCTGTACCCGCCCCCTCCGTCCGTTCCGCCAGTCAGCGCTGGAGGATCGGAGCGGGTAGGGGGAATCCAGTCCCTCCCCTGTCACGGCAGAGAGCCGTGACAGGATCGAGAAGTGAGCGAACTCCGTTATACTGAACTCCGGTCTACAGAGCCGACCTGTGACAGTTTCATTGTCACAGGTCGGCTGGGACTATGAGGATGAGTGAAAAGCACTCGCCTCATAGTTCTCCGACTCCTTTAAATACATTTCATTGAAACACTGCAAAAGTTCTCATAAATCCCTATATACATTAATAAACAATCAAATAATCCCATTAAAAGATTATAGTCTGAACTCCAAGTATACAGAATAGCAGTCATAACTAATTCATAGCAACAAAGTGAAAAAAGCAAAAAGACAATACCTATGAACAGGTCAAATGTAATCAACCCAATTGGTTAGAGTAATCTCAACTTTAGTAAGCTAATTTGTATTCAAATTAAAGTGTATCACAGGAGTGAGCTTGGCGTGGTGATTACTTTACAATACACACAGGGACTATAGGGAACAAAAGTAGCCACCCTCCAGAAGGAAGGACAGTGTCAGCACCAATTCAGAGACGAATTGAGGATCTACAGCTGAGTGATACACAAATAAAGCTGACCATAATCATATACATTATCTGCAGATTTTTTATGGTCAGATGGAAAAAGTGCAACAGATTCTTCCATCTGCGCCAGTGGCGTCACAAGGGCTCTGCAGGGGGTGCGGCCCGCACCTGGGTGCCACCATTGGGGGGGTGACAGCAAAATGACTGACAGTCATTTTGCTGTCACCCCCTATGAAATGTCGGGCACTCTGTCACGGACAGAGAGCCCGACAGTGTCAGGAGAGAGGAGGGGACCCGGCGGCATACCTTATCATAAAACAACAAAAATTGGGAGTATTTCCCTTTTCAGGAACAACAGGTTCATCGTACAGCCGCCCATAAAATATCAATGACTGTATGCAGCTGAGTGCAAGTATAGGCTGGTGCTTGTGTAAACAGGTGCATCTACATAAACATATGACCCGAAGACAGACAGTCAAAGTTGAACGTCCGTGCACATGCACGTGTTTACACAAGTATCAGCGTATACACGCATACAGTCATTGTTTTTTATGGTGCAGCTGTAATCATGTTGGAAATAAGGCATAGTTACAGTGATATATCAATAAAGGCAGAAGGGAAAACATTGTAAATTGCACCAAAGTATAGCTATCAACCCTTTATAAATAGGCTCCAAAAAGAGAGGGTATATTTACAATGCCAGTCAAATGTTTTTAGCCATATTTATGTGTAATAAGTACAGCAGTGGTACCTAAACTACAGAAAGTGGTCTGGATGTGCCCTTTGCTTGCCTTTAACCAGGTGCTGTTCCCACCACTGGCCCAAGGATGGGACACAAATTCCTCCCACTGACACCATTGATGGTGCACAAATCCTCCCACTGACACCGTTATTGGGGCACAAATCCTCCCACTGACACCGTTATTGGGGCACAAATCCTCCCACTGACACCATTAATTGGGCACAATGCCTCCCACTAAAACCATTATTGGGGTACAATTCCTCCCAATGACAACAATAATGAAGCACAATTCCTCCCACTGACACCAAAGATGGGGCACTATTTCTGCTACTCATACCAATGATAGGGTACTGTTCCTTCCATTTTTTTTTTACCCCTTTTGACCACCAACCCTGGGTCATATTTTACTTCGACTCACCATCGAGTCAGGGGCTTTTTTTTTACTTCCACTGGCATGCTTCACTTCCACTGGCCACAGTCTGAAGCACATTGAACTTAGAAACAACCCCTGAAGTACAGTGTTTAATAATTCACCTTTGGCAACATAGAATATGAATGATTTTATTACCTCGTCCATTACCTTTGCCATCCTTTCTTGGCATCATGTCTTTTCCAAACATTGGCATCTGAGGAATGTCTTTTCCATAGTGTGGCATGTGAGCCTTCTCCTTTCCCATGTGTCCCAATGGTGTGCCATCTTTTCCTATTGGCATATGATGCATCTGCTGTCCGAGGGGCTGGTACTGTGGTATCTGTGGAGGCAATGGCTTCATGCCATAATAGGCACCTCCACTGCTGAAATTCAGGAGGCCAAACAAGATGACTGAAAGAAACGGGATCTTCTGTACAGGACCTTGTGGTAGCGCCATTACCTAAAGAAGAAGACCGACACAAGTGTGAGATGATAGAGGGAAAAATAAGGTATGATTCTACTATGAGTGCTATTTAAAATATAAATCCACCTTTGTGACAAATTTGACACCGTGAAGCAGAGTAGTATAATAGTAGGATCCAACACAAAAGCAGCCACAAACCAAGCAACAATCTCTCAATCACAAAAACATTATTGTTCACAGCACAGCCTGCACAAACTCCTCCCACTGATGCATTTCACTCCAAAGAGCTTAAATATCACTCTAGCATTGAGCTCTTTGGAGTGAAATGCATCAGAAAGAGAAGTTTGTGTGGGCTGTGCTGTGAACGATAAATATGATTGCTGTATTGTCACTTGGTGTGTGGTAGTCTTGCATCCTATGTGCATGCACCTGGAACAAGCCACAAAGAGGCCGGTACCTGAGGTGGGGAAGACAAAATAGTTGAGTGCCTGTGTGGGGTCATTAATGTGTATTGTTGCCACTAAAATACTAGACTTTGCAAACAATCTTCAGCATCAATTTTTTTCTCCCTATTAAAGGGTCATTCCATGATGCTATGCCATTATATCGAAGTAGGAGGACTTCAAGGAGACTACTTAGACTTTTCTAGTACAATTTGTGAAATATTATATAATTAATTTGAAGGAGTTCTCAGACCAGATACAAACATGAAACAGTCATAATAGGTGGCGCGTGACATGTAGAGACCCCCTTTAAACTGCCAGAAATAGCATCATTTAGTTTGCTGACTACCACAAGTAGGACAAGAGACCTATTTCTGCCCCTAAGGGATATGAGGAAAGAGCGGGCTGTTGATTTAGAAGCTGTATCATTTTTTATTCCATTGGAGAACCTCTGTCCAAAGTTGAAAAAACCTCTGCTACAGATTCCACAATGGCCAGGCACATGGGCAACTGCCCAAGCATTGTGTCATGTAATCTCTTAAGAAGTGAAAGGTAAGAGATCAGATTGGCCAATCCTTTGTGTCAATGAAAATCATGTGATCAAATGCTTAGGCAGTCATGAAGTATATAGGTAAAAAATAAATCAAGGCAACTAGACTTGCTGTATTTTTCTTGAAGAAATTTCCCTGGTTAACTGACCAGCCAGGGCTGTCTTTACTGCAGGGCAAAAGGCCCCAAAATTTACAGGGGCACAAAGCAGCTGTCCCTTTAGCCCAAAGCATCGGTTGGGACAAGCCCAGCGTCACCGCTGACAGGGAGACCGTCTGTCCGTTTTTTCTCCTCTAGTTAATGTCTGTGTGCCTCCTGCTTCTGTGATCTCCTCCCCCGATGCCTGTCACATAGGAGCAGACATTGGGGAGGATGCCTGGGAGATCTGACAGGCACAGAGGATACAGCCACATACAGCACAAGAACCAACCTGAGCAGATCCTCAGTGTCTGTATTACAGGTTACATGGTGATGTGTATTATTGTTTTGTCTCTGTGGGTTATTTCATATTGCATAATACCATCATAGCTGCCTTATAAAAAAAAGTAATACCAGATCTGTTAAAAGTGTTCTGGAGAACAATGACACGGAGAAAACTTACCTACGCTGGTCATGATTGTATGGCTGCAATATAATATAGTATATATAGTCCAAATCCAATTTTAATAGGAGCCATATAACATCTTTTTACATTATACTCTTGTAGTCTGATCTGGCAGTGTGACGACAGTTATCTGTACTGTGACACTTTGTACTTTTATGATTACTCCCAGTCATATTGTTTGCATGCCCCAAGTTAGTAGTTTGCTGGTGTCTTTACAGTTTCGGGATGCCTTCTAACAATAAAGGATGTTAAGTGATCTGCTTTAATGTTTGTTTCCACAGACAAGCACACATAAATCAAGCCAAAACGTCCTTTAATAAATGTAATAAATTGATTAATGCTCATTTGCACTCAGGGCCAGATTTACTCTCTCTGCTGCCCCAAGGCCAGGTACCTCAATGCGAGGGGGGCTAGAGGTAGCCGGCGGGGGGGAACGCAGATTGCATACAAGTGATTTCGGCGGCATCGCCGAGACCAGTTGCACAAAACAAGCGGTGGCTTCCCCACTGTACATTTAGCCCTGCTTGCCCAAAGCAGGGCTAAATGTAGAAAAAAAAAACTACCCGCCCGATGCCCAGAACTGCACGTCCTGGGCATCGGAAGATAGGAATCCCACACCTCTACTACCCTTCTAGTCCCTGCTGCCCCGAGGCCAGGCCTCGGTGGCCTTGTGGGAGATCTGGCCCTGTTTGCACTAATAAAGTATCAAAGCAAAGCAAGTTTTATTAATGCAGTTTAAAAAAAAGGTTAATTTCATAATTATTGCTATGCATTTACATCCACGTCACTAAACACTCACAGCAAGGTGTATTTAGTACACCGTGCAGGAAGCGTTCAGTGATGTGCTGTGTAAATGCAGTACATATTTTACTAATATATCCAAGTAATTTATACTGCATGCATTGTATTGCATTTACATTGCATGCCCCCCCACACTTGCTGCACAGTGTACTGCATTTGAAACATATGCATTCTACGTATAATATACACTGAGTGGCCAGATTATTATGACCACTCCATCAGTACTTCGTTGGGCCACCTTTTGCCTTCAATACTGCGGCGATTCTTCTTGGCGTTGACTCCACGAGATGTTGAAAGGTGATGGCGTTGACTCCACGAGATGTGGAAAGGTGATGCGAGGAATCTGACACCATGCCTGATGAAAAGCACAGTCCAGTTCTGTGAGATTTGATGATTGTGGAACTAGCTGCCTGATGGCTCTTTCAACTTCGTCCCACTAATGCTGCAATTGGATTGAGATCTGGTGATTGTGGGGGCCACCTAAGCAAGGTAAAGTCTCCCTCATGTTCTTGAAACCACTCCTGCACAATACGAGCAGCGTGGCGTGGCGCATTGCCTTGTTCGAAGAAGCCATCTCCATTGGGATACGCCATCAACATGATTGGATGAACTTGATCAGCAACGATACTTTGGTATGTTGTGCTATTCAGACGTTGTTCCACACAAATTAAAGGGCCCAAATCATGCCAGGAAAACATGCCCCAAACCATAACCCCACCAGCTTGAAGGGTTGTACTCATGCATGTGGGGTGCATGCTTTCATGCTGTTTCCACCAAATTCTCACTCTGCCATCTGCGTGATGCAACTGGAAACGTGATTATACCGGACCACATGACTTTTTTCCAATGCTCGACTGTCCAGTCCTTGTGTTCCTGTGCGAATTGGAGACGTTTTATCTTGTTAACTGCAGGCAGCAAAGGTGTTCGAACATGCCTTCGGCTTCCATATCCCATACGATGCAGCATACGGGGAACAGTGCGTTCAGAGATCATTTGAGGGGATCCCTGATTAAGATCTGCAGTAATTTGATGCACTGTTGCCCTTCTGTTGTCTTGTACCAGACTTGCCACTCTAGTGGCTGACTGCCACAATTCGCACGCTCAGTCCCAGATTTTCGGCTGGCAGTCCAGTCTTTAAACACTTTAACAACAGCTGCTCTTGAACATTTAACGAATTCTGCTGTTTTGATGATACTCGCTCCATGGCTTGAGCGCCAACAATCATCCCACGTTCAAAGGCTGGATTTATAGACTTAGGACCCTGCAACACAATGGGTTCAGGACCCTGCAATGCAATGGGTTTAGGACCCTGCAACGCAATGGGTTCAGGACCCTGCAACGCAATGGACTCAGAGCCTTGCAACGCAATGGACTCAGAGCCTTGCAACACAATGGACTCAGGACCCTGCAACGCAATAAACTCAGGACCCTGCCATGCAATGGACTCAGGACCCTGCAATGCAATAGGTTCAGGACCCTGCAACGCAATGGGTTCAGGAGCCTGCAATGCAATGGGTTCAGGATCCTGCAACACAAAAAACATTGGAATCGGCAACGCAATAAACTCTGGAATCTGCATGGCAATGAAGTAAGAACTCTGCAATGTAATGGACTTAGGGCTCTGCAACACAAGAGGGCCCCAAGTCATTGTGTTGCAGGGTCCTAAGTCCATTGCGTTTCAGGTTCCTAAGTCCATTACGTTTCAGGGTCCTAAGTCCATTGCGTTGCAGGGTCCTGAGTTCATTGTGTTGCGGGGTCCTGAGTCCATTGTGTTTCAGGGTCCTGAGTCCATTGCGTTGCAGGGTTCTGAGTCCATTGCGCTGCAGGGTTCTGAGTCCATTGTGTTGCAGGGTCCTGAGTCCATTTCGTTGCACGGTCCTGAGTTTATTGTGTTGCAGGCTCCTGAATCCATTGCGTTGCAGGCTCCTGAATCCATTGTGTTGCAGGCTCCTGAATCCATTGTGTTGCAGGGTCCTGAATCCATTGCGTTGCAGGCTCCTGAATCCATTGTGTTGCAGGGTCCTGAGTCCATTGCGTTGCAGGGTCCTGAGGTTATTGTGTTGCAGGCTACTGAATCCATTGCGTTGCAGGGTCCCGAGTCCATTGCATTGCAGAGTCCTAAGTGCATTTCGTTGATGAGTCCTGAGTTTATTGCGTTGTAGAATGTTGAGTCCACTGCGCTATTGCATTGATATGTTTTGTGTGGTCTGGGTCGGGAAGTGATGGAGCTGGGATGGTTGTGGGGGCCCATCAGTAAAATCGACGACCCTGCGACCAGCTTTCTCCATTCTGAGATTAAGAAAGCTGGTCAGATGACCAGTGAAAAGTCTTCAAGAAAAATACAGCAAGTCCAGTTGCCTTGATTTATTTTTGACAGATATACCATGACCTGGATCAATGAGAACCTTCACAGACATACAGCCATCAAATAGAACGTGACTTTTGAGACCCATCTACAAAAGGCAATAAATTGACAATTTATGATTTAGGTCTATTGGTTGCTATTTGTTGTTCATGCACATCCTGATAAAGAATCCTAGTTTACTGGAGAGACCAAAACAATTTTTCTTAAAGGAAAACATAATAGTGAAAATACTGGGTTTAACCAATAACCAAATGTTTGGTATATAAATTCT